CTGGGAGGCTGGTTCTGGAGGAGAAAGCGGGATTTGAAAATGAAGGCTTGGTTGTGTTTTGAATCATTTGGCAAATTGCTTTCTCAGTAGCCTGAAGAGAAATAAACTCCCATGTGGAGGAGAAAGAGTTTCTGGTCCCTTGAAACAGGCTGGGCCATGTCTGTGGTACCAAGGAGCAAGGTGGGAAGTCAGGTTTCAGAACAGGTATTTCAAGGGATGTGTCTGTACAGGCCTGCAAAATGCATCTTGAGACAGGGCGATGGGACATGCATGAGACCGTTTGTGGGTTTCAGAATCAGAAAGTGGGACAGACCGGGGGCTTTCAGGCTGAAGGGTCACAGGCGGCAGGTGGAGCCTGAGGACTTGTACTCTCCAAGTAGTTTCAGCAGGAAGGAGGGTAGGCTTGGAAGAATGGAAAGAGGTTGGAAGTGGGTGTTGTGTAAAGAGCCCGGAGGTTGACTGTGTGGGGCATGTTGTCTACCCCTTGTGGGCCTCGCTTTCCTCCCTTGTGGCCTCGTGACAATATGTGGCCTGCTCTACCAGTATTTGAGATTGATTGGTGTAGCTCAGGGGCCTTACTCATGTCCTTTAGTTCAAAGAGTGCTAAGCCAAAAGTTCTGCGCCTAGCAAGCTGGGTGCATTCAAAAGTGACCACATTTCAAGACTTCACTTTTCGTGAGACATCCCTGTGGTTCATCTTCTCTATCAATGGATAAGGTGTTTTTTTGTTTGCTGTGTTTAATCCATTGATATCCCATGGTCTCATTTACCTTATTCGTATAATAGAAATAAAATTGTCTGTTCTGCCAACTTCCATGGGTACCTGGGAGGGTCTGATAGGATGGTATGTGTGAGCCTGTAGCCCAGGAGATGGTGGGGATGATGCTGCGGCAGACGGTGCTTGACACAGAGGGCAATGTGCATGCAAGGGATGGAAGCAGGAAGGACCAGAGGCTGCTTGGGGGCTACTGATTGTCACACAGGTGTCTTCATTCAGAACTTGGCCTGCTCTGGGCACAAGGGAGATTAGGAGAGGGAGCTGTGGTAAGTGCTGCTCTTCTGGTGCCTTGTGCTCAGGGCTTTCTGAGAGTCCTAATTTGGAGAGCTGCCTCTAGGTATGATTAGACAACAGCTAGATTTTTGTTAACTTTAAAGAGTATTCAGGGGCTGGAGAGACGGCTCAGTGGTTTAGAGCACTTACTGCTCTTCCAGAGGGCAAGTTCAGGTCTCAGCACCCATGTTGGAAGGCTCCCAATTGCTGGTAACTCTAACTCCAGGGGATCGGATGTTCTCTGGGTTTCATGGGCACCTGCACTCACATGCACAACCTATACCCAGTCATATACACATATACAGACTAAATCTTAAAATAAAAATCACCTTTTCTGAGGTTAGAATGCTAAATTGAATTCAGTGCTGATACCTTGTAGCTCCGGATTCATGCACCCAGGACTCTGGGCATATTTATACTAATGTGAGCTAGGGTCGACCCGTGTCTGCGGGTGTGCTGCGTGCGTGCGTGCATGTGTGTGAAAAGATGGTCGCTTGCTGCTGAATCTATTCATAGAAGATTCAGATCCGTAGAAGATTAGCTTTGTGTCCCTTTCTCTCAGAAGTCCATCAGCTGATCTTGTGTTGGGACTGGAGGCTGCTTCAGAGCTACAGATTACCACATAAGTGTCATCATTCAGAAATTTGGCCCTAGGCACAAGGGAGATTAGGAGAGGGAGCTGTGTAAGTGCTGCTCTTTCTGGTGGCTTGTGCTCAGGGCTTTCTGACCGTAGCTGGAAGCTGCCAGCCTCATAATTCCTGAGGGAAGGGGGATAGCAGGTGGTCATTTAGAAAGCATTGGGTTAACAAACAGAGAAGCTAGATTCATGTCCTATGAAGTTATCCTGTGCATACCACTCAGCTTCTGAGGTCCTAACACAAAATGTGGGGCTGACCCGCTGATAGCTGAGATGTGTAAGAAAGTGTTCTGTCAACTGTAAGGTGCTTCTGAGGGTCCAGAGGCAATTGGTGTTCCTGCTTTATTGTTATTCTCTTCTGTGTAGGGCTTCTACCCACCCCCACCCCCCGCACCCCCATGTGAAAATGAGGCTGACAGAGTTTGCATGCTCGTTTCCCAGTGATGACTGTAAAGACACTAGGTGCAAAGGCAAATAAGGCTCAGGTCCTGAATGTGATGCAAGGCTTTCTGAAACAGGTGTTGTGTGTGTGTGTGTGTGTGTGTGTGTGTTGGGGGGGGCTGTTCCCTGCCTTATCTGGCTGGCTCTCAGTGGAACTGTTTTGGGAAGCCTAGGCACCTGCCTGCCAGATGAGGTCATAGGATTCCATGGGCTGGCTTGAGAGCAAGAAGCAGGAATTGAGAGGCCAGCTGTGGTTGGGATGGGTGAGGGCGTGGCAGGGGTAGTGCCCTGTGCGGGGACCAAGGAGCCAGCATCCTGGCCTGATGGCTTATTACGGCCCAGGCTCTGCTAGCCATTGACACTCAGTTTACCCCAGGCTCCAGGGCAGAATAAGGAAAACTTGGTAGAGTTTCAGAGACTTTCTTGTCTAACCTTTGTGCCAAGGTTATTTAGATACACTCATCTCCAGAGAGGCTCAGTGCTCAATTTGGAGATGAAGCTAGTAGCTTAATATCAGATGAGATGATCTCTTGACTGTGACAGCAAGGGCCTTTTCACTGTGTTAAAACTAAAAAAAAGAAAAAAGAAAAAAAGAAAAAAAGACCTTTAATTCAGTAACTTCACCTGTGGGACTTTAATAAAAGGAAATAATTTGAATTGCAGAAAATAATTATGCTCAAATATGTATTGAGTATAATGGGGGAGGGGAGAACCTAAAATACTGTTGTTAGTACATAAGTCTAAAATGTAAGAGCCACGGAGTGGGGATGCTTTTGTTCCCAGTATGCCCAGCACTCACAGTGCCTGGCACACAGGTGTCAGTGACACTTTTTGAAGCTACATGAAAAAACCTATGTCTACATGGTAAGACTATTATCATTTAATGATTCAAACTCAGAAATTTGAACAAAATAGAGTGTTTTCTACATGAATAAGAATAAGAAGTATAAAAATGCCATAGCGGGGGGCTGGAGATGGCTCAGCAGTCACTGGTTGTTCTTGCAGAGGATCCAGGTTCGTTTCCTAACACCCATATGGCTGCTAACAGCTATCTGTAACTCCAGTTCCAGAGGCTCTGACACCCTCTTCTTTTTCAAATAACTTTTTAAATTTTATGTGTATGCGTGTATTGCCTGCATGTATGTGAGTGCACCTGTGTCATGCAGTGCCGCGGAGGTCAGAAGAGGGCTTCGGATTCCCCTGGAACTGGAGTTAAGGATGGTTCATAGCCACCATGTGGGTGGTGGGAATCGAACCTGGGTCCTTTGCAAGAGCAGTCAGTGCTTTTAACCACTGAGCCGTCTCTCCAGCCCTTGACACCCTTTTCTTGCCTCTGTGGGCACCAGGCATGCATGTGACGCATGTAGGCAAACACACACTGAATAAATAAAAATAAAATCTTTTTAAAAGTTCCATAATGGAACTTATTATGTATATTAACTTGAAAATTAAAAAGAAAGTTAATACCAAAATATTAAAAAGTGAAAAAGCAAAGTATTTTTATAAAAATTACTGCCAATTTGAAGTCAGTGGGTAAGGGCGCGTGTCACCGAGCTTGATGACTTGAGTTCAATCTCCAGGACCCATATGGTGGAAGTGGAGAACTGACTCCCTCCCACAAGTTGCTCTCAGACCTCCACACAGGCACCATTGGTACCTGCACCTCCCCACATACAGATTAAAAACATAGAAAAGTAATAACAATTTAAGAAATAAAAATCAGAGGGCAGAAAGGAAGGAAGGAGGGAAGGAAGAAAGGGAAGGAGGGAGGGAAGGAGGGAGGGAGGGAGGAGAGAGAGAAGGAACCCAAGCCAGCCTTCTTGGAGGAGATTTCCAGATATGTCTACTTATAATACTTACAGTGATACCATTGGTGACCTTTTTTTTTTTCTTTCCAAATTTTTTAAAAGTTTGAAAGTGACTATGATTCTGTGCTTGGAAAATTCCTTTTCAATGCATCATATTCTTTTTTGAGAAAGGAGATTAGTTTATTTGTGCGGCAAACCAGCAGCCTGCTGAGCCGGCTCCTCTGTCTTCTGAAAGAAGCAGGCAGTCTTTGTGGCCACACAGAACACCCACATGCTGGGCTGTGTCTGTCAGCTTGGCACCGAGGCAGCTCTCCTGACTTTAGAATGGCGACATAGCGCCTCGTGTTGAAATCCTACAGGTCGTGTTGCAGAAACTTGCCCATGCCTTTATTATCCCTTCACTGAACTCAAGGCATTTGGTAGTTGCGAGAAGAATTTTAAGAAGATAGAATTTGCTGGGTCGATGGTTCATTCTTGGAATTCTTTCTTTGGCTTCCAGTTTGGGGAAACTGTTGAGGCTGTCACTTGCGTTCCTTCATTCCTATCTCTGCTCATGCTGTCTTGAAGTTTTTTGTTTAGTTTCTCAGTGCCTTGGAGTAAGGACTTGGTGAAATGTCTCTTTAACACATTATCCTGGGCATCGTAACATAGGACTGTAATTCCCAGTACTTGTGAAGTTGGAAGCAGGAGGATTGTTGAAAGTTTTGAGTCCATCCTGGTCTCTATAGTAAGTTCCAGGCCAGCCAGAGCTATGTAGCTAGACCCTGTTTCAAAAAACCAAACTAAACAGGCTGCACCAGCCAACCAAACAACAAAAACAGTGTTTCTTGAAGCCAAAACTTCCTTAGAATTAAATTTTCTTCCTGAAGTTCAAGTGGCATTGGCACCCACACTGGAAGATCGTGGTTTTCTAATCTGACTGGGTTCTGATACACTAGTGCGTCTCAGAGGAGAGGCCTGTGCTTCTCCTGTGAGCAACCTTTGGTGACCAGGGTCCCCAGATGTACTGACCTCTTGGTGTCGCTCTTCCTCCATTCATGTGATTTCTCATCTGTCTCTCTAGCCACAACCAGCAGAATACAACGTTCAGGCATCCTGTGACTGGGCAGTTTTCTCCAGAAAATAGTGAATTCATTCTTCAAGAAGAGTAAGTATTTTTTTTAATTCTTTTATTACACTTATTTATTTTATTTATTGTGTACGCATATATGTGTATATGTGTGTGCATATATGTGTATATGTGTGTGCATATACGTGTATATGTGTGTGCATATACGTGTATGTGTGTGTGCATATATGTGTATGTGTGTGTGCATATATGTGTATGTGTGTGTGCATATATGTGTATATGTGTGTGCATATACGTGTATATGTGTGTGCATATACGTGTATGTGTGTGCATATACGTGTATGTGTGTGTGCATATATGTGTATATGTGTGTGCATATATGTGTATATGTGTGTACACATGCCATGGCACATGTGTGGAGGTCAGAGCACAACTTGCAGGAGTTGGTTCTTTCCTTCCACCATATGGGTCCTGGGGATCAATCTCAGGTCGTCAGGCTTGGTAGCAAGTGCCTTAGCCTGCTGAGCCATCTCACTGGCCCCCAAATAAATACTTTTATATATACTCCTTATCCAGGCAGCTTAGGAGCTTGAAGGTGTGTGCTCAAAGCAAAGTTTGCTAGATCGTTTGGTAGGGTTTTTTTGGTCAGGTGGAGGGGCTTGGAGGGGGTCAGTTGATTCAAAGTACAATGTGAAAAGAGTTTTATTTTTCAGTGTTCACACTTCTGGTGAGAGGATGTGGGAGGGGAGGGATACCAGGATGTGCTGTGGTTCACGCAATGACAGTGTCTTAAAATTCCCTTTCTCAATGGGCGTCATGGTGCGTGCCTTTAATCCCAACGATGGGGAAAGAGAGGCAGGTGGATCTCTGTGCTGTAGAGGCCAGTCTGGTCTACATAGTTCCAGGCCAGCTGGGGTTACAGGGAGTCCCCTTCTCAAAAACAAATAAACAAAAAAACAATCCCCTTCTCCTGAAGCATAACCTTGCACACTAGCTGTGTTCTGACTGGACTGCTCATCTAGTGTAGTGTTAAAGGCAGGGATTGGGGTCTGATAAGCACCTGGTGAAATTTCTGGGTTCTCCTGTCCCTGAACAAGGATTTGGACAGATACAGTGAATAGTATCAGAAGAGAAAGTTTATTAAGGGAGAAAGCTCTTCCTAGAGTGGAAGTAGGCTAGAGCTGGAGAAAGGTCAAAGGCTCAATGGCCAACGCTATACAAAGGACTGGGACTTGTATCTCCTAGTATCTTGTGCTTTGGGGTCATGTGAACAGTCACACTTTTTCTTTGCCTGCTCTGTAACACAGCCGCCTTGGTGGGGAGGGGTTTCCAGTCTCTTTTTCATATGCTGATTTTGACCTCATTCTCCATCCTGTGCTTCTGCCACAACTGTACTTATGTGGAGCCTCTGGCAGCATCGAGTAGTACAGGAGCTCCCTGCTCTGCCTCAGCTGGGGCTCTTGGAGCTCAGCGGCTGGTTGTGCCTCTTGGAGCGCATCTACGTAAGTGTGAGCTTGCAGCCAGAGCAGGGCATGCTTTCCTCAAAAGCAAAGGCAAGAAGTGTGCACAAAGGCTCTGTCCCTTCTGCGCTTCTGTCTTCTCGCTACTCAAGTAGAGGGATATTAGCTTTAAGTTTTCTCTATCCATTTTTCTTCCCCTTAGTCACTTAGATGGAATATAGTCCTACAAGAAAAATTACCAGCATTCATATTTTCAGTGTGGGTTTTTATTTATTTATTTATTTATTTAATTTTTTTTTTTTGACAGGGTCTCCCATAGCCCCAGCTGGCCTGGAACTCACTATGTAGACCAGGCTGGCCTTGATCTCACTGAGATCCAGAGATCTGCCTGCCTCTGCCTCCCAAGTGCTGGGATCAAAAGTTGTGCCACCACACCCATCAGTACTCATATTTTAAAAAATATTTATTGTTGAGCCGGGCGTGGTGGCACACGCCTGTAGTCCCAGCACTTGGGAGGCAGAGGTAGGTGGATCTCTGTGAGTTCAAGGCCAGCCTGGTCTACATAGTGAGTTCCAGGACAGCTGGGGCTACAGGGAGACCCTGTATCAAAAAGACAAAAAAAAAAATTATTGTTATTTTATGTGTATGAGTATATTCCCTGCATGTCAGTGCACCCATGTCAAAAGAGGGCATCAGATATCCTAGAGCTTGAGTTACGAATGGCATTAGCTGGGAATCGAACCCTAGTCTTCTGCAAGAGCAGCCAGTGCTCTTTACCACTGAGCTGTCTCGCCAACCCCAGTATTCATTATTTTATAGCAGTTCCCTCCTACAGTACTAAGCTTTTGAACTTTGTATTTTATTTTATTTTATTTCTTTTTATTTTATGTGTATGTGTGTATTGCCTGTATGTAGGTAAGTGCACCCATGTCATACAGTGCAGCAGAGGACAGAAGAGGCTGTTGGATCCCCTGGAACTGGAGTTACGGACAGTTGTTAGCTGCCATATGGGTGCTGGGATTCAAACCCAGGTCTTCTGCCAGAACAACCAATGTTCTTAACCACTGAGCCATCTCTCCAGCCCATGAACTTTGTATTACTGAAAAATGTAAACATATCAAAGAAGAAATATAATGTACTTATCACTTCATTTTATTTATCCTTTTCCCTTGGTTTCTTGGATTATTTTGAAGCAAAATATACCATTCGTGTCTATGGTATTTTCAGTTTAGAATCATTTTTGTACAGAACTTAGAGATCTGTAATTGTGACAGTGTTGATATTCCTTGCATCCTCCCTCTGCTGGAGGGTTTTCATGCACACCTCATTTAATTAATTAACACAATAATCCCAAGAGACAGAGTGACAGCAGTTCAGAGGTGAAGGTCACTGAGACTCAGTAGTAAAGTTGATTGGCCAGAGTTGCAAGGCTAGAAATGGAGCTCCAAGATGCCTCCACAGGTGATGAGGCTCCAGGGTCTGTGCTGCCTTTGAATGGTGTGTTTTCTTCATTCAGATCCCTCCGCCCTTGCTAAGCTACTTGGTGCAGATGGTCCCTGGGACATGATAGCCAGACTGTGGCTTTGGGTATAGGACTTCAGTGCTATAGGTTGAACATCTCTAATATGAAATATTCCAAAATCTAAATTATTTCAAGCACTGTTGACCCTCAAAAAAGTTTCTCGCCAGGTGTGGTGGCACACGCCTTTAATCCCAGCACTCGGGAGGCAGAAGCAGCCGATCTCTGTTAGTTCAAAGCCAGCCCCCTCTACATAGTGAGTTCCAGGACAGCTGGGGCTACAGGGAGACCCTGACCCAAAAAAAAAAAAAAAAAAAAAAAAAGTTTCTCAGAGTTTCAGTGTTTGGATAAGTTATGTTCAACTGGTAAAAGCTACACAAATATTCCCAAACTGGAAGCACTCCGATCTGTACCAGTTGAGCTGGAGAGATATATGAGCCCTGGGTGGATCTCGAAGACCCTTGGGAGGTGGAATTGACAGGGCTTGGTGACTGACAGTCCTGAGGTTGTGAGCAAGGGCATCCTTTCTTGAAGAGTCTGTTCCTATGCTCAAGAAAGAGTCCAGATACAGGAAGGTGAGTGTATGTTGCTCTCGAGTTGTGGTCATTATCATCTTATGGCACAGTGACTAGCCTTGGCTGGGTCAGAGTTCAACAAGAGGGACCTGTTGTGGAGGTTTGTGAGGTGGAACCGGAAGCTACGGTTGCTGGCAAGGCTGCAGACAATCATCTAAATTGTTTCTTCCTAAAACACACCTAGATTCACCTCCTAGGGAAGCTCTGGAGCATATGGCTTGACTGCACCGTAGCATGTAGGTGGATGAGATTCCCATCGTGTCTCTTGAAGGAGCTTCTTTTGCTGTGTCAGGTGGTAAGGTAAACAGATGTGATGACCCTTAGGGGCTTCGCACATGAATAAGACCAGACCCTGGAGAGTAATAACCACATCAACTCCTCTCCAGCTTTGTAAGCTGACCCTCTAGAGCAGTGATTCTAAAGGAGCAGGTCTGACCCAGGGCTACCTGCTCAGTGTTAAAGACGCGCGTCTCAGGCCAGACTCTGGAGCCATTTTCTTAACAAATACTTTCAGGTGATTCTGGAGCAGAAGTGCTCACCCCCCTAAATTACTCCCAGATTCTTCTGCACGTCTCTAAGTGCCTTTCAGGTACCCATCGCTCTCTGGCCAATGATGACAATGTTAGGTAGATTTTAATCCAGTAGATTTGTGTGTGTATGTGTATGTGTGTATAGAAAAAAATATTTTTTTTTACTTCCTCATCTCCATGGTGACTTCTTTTAGGACTTTATGGTATAAGCAGACACCTCTCCCTCACTATTACCAGGAAGAGCTCGCTGAGCTGCTTGGAATACTGTGCTTGCTGATTTCCATGTTATAGATTAGAGGCGTAAAAAGAAATAATGTAAAAGCTTAGAGTGTTTGGTTTCTGTATCAGTAACACAGCATCAGGCAGGACAGACTGGGGTCTGCTCTGGTCACAACAACATACAAAGTCTTCAGGATTTAAACAAGAAAAATCTATTTCTCACTTTGGCCCCGTGTGCATCACGGGTCACCTGAGGGCCTCTGCTCTGCTGTCCGTACCGAGAGAAACCGCGTTCCTGTGTTTTCAGTTGCCAAAAGCAAGAGAAAGGGAATCGGTGAACTCTGCCTTGGCTTTTCCACTCACATTTCACGGGATAAAGCAAAGTCCAGGCCCACTTCTAACTTCAAGGCAAGCAGGGACCTGCTTATTTACTCTGTCCCCAGGAGGAGAAGCGGGCATATTTGTCGGCAGCACTAATAACCCCCTTCACAGCCCCCAGCTGAAGTGGTGGGACTTCTGAGCCTGCTGTGAACAGCGGAGCTTGCAGGGGACCAGAGTGCTCGTTCGCTCAGTTCACCTTTCTGTCACACTGCCTGGTTCTCGGGGGTGTGGGCCCCACTCTGTAGTCCTGTTGCCTGTACACACACAGCTGGTAAATGGCAGAGTTGGGGTTTGAATCCCGAAAGTCTGGCCCCAGACGTGCTGGTAAACACAGTCATGCTGACTCTCATCTTAGTGACATTCAGGGGACAGTCATATTTGCTGTCTATATTAC